CTGGGGAGGGCTAGCCTCCCACTAGTTCGAATTAAGGGTCTACACAGCCCTTAATTCGAACTAGCTAGTTCGAACTAGGCTTAATCCTCGTAGAATGAGGTTTACCTAGTTTGAACTAAGCGCACCGTTAGTTCGAATTAAGTTCGAACGAACGGAGCGCTAGTGTAGCGCCTAGGAAAGTTAGTTCGAACTAACATTCGTTAGTTCGAACTAACTTTGTAGTGTAGACATACCCTCAGAGAGGTAAGCAACCAAGCAGAAGGCCCTGAGAAATGGCTGTACAGGGCAGGTCCTTTAAGCACGCATCTCAGATAGTCTCAGGCAGCAGCTCCAGGAAGCAACTGTTAACCTAATGCCCTACCTGAACTGGTTCCAAGCAGCCTCAAATGCAAAATAGAGTCCAATCAGTATGGATGCTATCTTTAAAATCTCTATTTTAATTGTGCTTCTTGCATGTAGATGCTCTACTCTTGGGCTACGTCTAGACTACTTCCCTTTTTCATAAAAGGGATGTAAATTAGACATATCACAATTGCTAATGAAACGGGGATTTAAATCTCCCCTGCTTCATTAGCATAAAAATGGCTGCCACTTTTTTTCCTCACGGAGCTTTGTTGGAAAAAAGCACCAATCTAGACACTGATCTTGCGGAAAATAAAGCCTTTTCTGAAAGCTCCCTTATCCCTTATTTCATATTTCTGCAAGATCAGCATCTAGACAGGCGCTTTTTTTCCGACAAAGCTCCGTGCGGAAAAAAAGCAGCAGCCATTTTTATGCTAATGAAGCAGGGGAGATTTAAATCCCCGTTTCATTAGCAATTGTGATATGTCTAATTTACATCCCTTTTACGAAAAAGGGAAGTAGTCTAGATGTAGCTTTAGAGTAGAAGGGCTGCATACCCAGCTGCCTGAAAGAATTACAGCATAACACCAGTGAAGTGAGGGCAGGGGTCAGGGGAGCTAGAGGCTGATTGACTCCAAGGACTGGATGAGGACTGAATATAACAAGGTGGCCTGTAGCTTAAGGTGGTTGGGATTATTTTTAATAAAACATTATTTTTAGTAGAAAGTATTAATGCATCAAAAATGAAGAATCCTTTTTTCAGAGAAGAGTAAGTTGTG